GGGCAAATGAGTTCATTGATATCGACAATGCTTTTTACGACGTACTCAGCGGAAACAATTAACTTCAAATAATAACAATTGTAGTAAATACTAATTATCAAAAATTGATATGCAACGGTGTGTTCCATCTTATCTATTAATTGATATACAACGGTGTGTTCCATATCATTTATCTATTGATATGCAACGGTGTGTTCCATATTATTGATTAATTGATATGCAACGGTGTGTTCCATATTATTGATTAATTGATATGCAACGGTGTGTTCCATATTAATTGATATGCAACGGTGTGTTCCATATTATTTATTAATTGATATACAACGGTGTATTCCATTTTATTCATTAATTGATATACAACGGTGTGTTACATATTATTCATTAATTGATATGCAATGGTGTGTTCCATTTTATTCATTAATTGATATACATGGTGTGTTCCATATTATTTATTAACTGATATGCAACGGTGTGTTCCATATTATTGATTAATTGATATGCAACGGTGTGTTCCATATTATTTATTAATTGATATACAACGGTGTGTTCCATAGTATTGATTAATTGATATGCAACGGTGTGTTCCATATTATTTATTAATTGATATGCAACGGTGTGTTCCATATTATTTATTAATTGATATGCAACGGTGTGTTCCATATTATTGATTAATTGATATGCAACGGTGTGTTCCATATTATTTATTAATTGATATACAACGGTGTGTTACATATTATTCATTAATTGATATGCAATGGTGTGTTACATATTATTCATTAATTGATATACACGGTGTGTTCCATATTATTTATTAATTGATATACACGGTGTGTTCCATATTATTTATTAATTGATGTGCAACGGTGTGTTCCATATTATTTATTAATTGATATACAACGGTGTGTTCCATATTTTTTATTAATTGATTTGCAACGGTGTGTTCCATATTATTTATCTATTGATATGCAATGGTGTGTTCCATATTATTTATCTATTGATTTGCAATGGTGTGTTCCATCTCATTTATCTATTGATGTGCACAAGTGGATAGCACCTCTCAGCACAAATAAAGATAAGGAAGAATTACATCATACAACTTGTTCTTCCTAATACGACTTGTCAGTGGTGTTAAGGGCCTAAAGCGTTGTAACTGAAGGTTTTGCGACTGAGGAAAATGTTGATCGAAAGAACTTTCAAGATCTGGAGTCAAAGATGCACTAGATTCCGTTATTCAACACATTTCATAATATTTGATAATTTCAAGTCAAGTGCTACAATAAAAAAACCGTGTCACTATTCAAATGAATTAAAGCGTGGCATGTTAGTCGTTACGTGCTCTACTTCTGCATTAAAGGCCGACTCACAAGTGGTCTTCTAGTGATATTTCATTATCAGTGTGATACACACTACATTGCCTTTCTAATTATATCCATTTATCCTTTCAAATGAAGTATTTATGTTGTACTATTTCATAGCAATAATAATAATTTGTTTTTACAGCATCATTATTCCATATAACTCCAGACTGGTTTTTTCAACGGATGATTTACATATAATTAGATTCAGTGCAGTTTAAAACATCATAGCATGGCTATGGAGAATTGCACATTTCATTTGTCAAGTATGAAATTAAACCAGTGACATAAAGTCTGGGTTTTTTTTCTCTTACATACATACATATAACAGTGCAAGTTGTTATTTTAAAGTGATTCGACGTTTCGCTACATTCAAGAAAGAAATAAAATCGTGAAAAAAAAAACATCTAGATAAAATTAGAAGACTATAATCCATCTCAATGATTTCCCTTTAAAATGTTTTCTTTTACCTCCACGTTTCTGTAAAAAAGCGAAAATGTAAACTATTGAAAAGAGAAATCAATCTTGATAGTTGCCCGTATGGATGTTTTAGGTTATCAGCTGTCTATCTTATTTTTAGCTGAATGATAACTACATATAACAAGGGTCGTCATAATGGAAAATATTCTGTTATTTCCTTGTACAATATGAAGTTAGGTGTGTTTGATGCTTGCTAGTTTGCCTAGTAGCTCCGCTGTTGTACACTTTGTTCTCATTCAGGAACATGACATTACCCATTTGGATTGATAAAGATTTAGTTGGCGGTGTCGTCGAGGAAGCAGAAGACGCTTACTATTCCAGCACACACAGTCTTATCTTCTTATAACGTGTAACTTATGTTCATATTTTGTCCCAGTTTTATTGAACTTAAGTTTGAAATAAGATTCTGTTGACATTGATCGTCCTTCACCTACTTATCTTGTACATGTGTTGTTGTCTTAATGAAGGCAATAACCTTTGTTTGCATAAATTGATCAAATGTCAAATTATCTTTATCCTTACTCAAAATTGAAAAACAAAGAAAGAAAATATATATTCTTCAACGACGAAATACACCATGTATTCAAATAATTTTTTGTGACCTCTCATTCCGTTGTGAGTCTCTCTTATAGAAAGTAGGTGTTAACGTTTAGATAATCTTTTTTTCATTATTTATCTAAACTTATAGTGTTTCCTCTTTTTTGTCAATATAGCTATAGTATCTACCTGTTGTCCGATTGATCTGCTATATAATGTCAGTTTAATAACTTAGTCTTGAAAGTGAAATTTGTTATCGAAAATGAAAAATTTATGGAACACGACCTAGCCGAAAAAAAAGTTTCCAATCGACAGCTTGGAAAATTGCTTCAGATCAAAGAGGTGTTGTGACCTTCGATACAAAAGTTCTGTTTCCTCATCGGTAATATCGAGGAGAAGAACAAACCCAATTATATAGCTTAAAATCGACAATATTGGAACAATATCAGAACACATAAAGTGACTGTGAGGTGACTGTCTTGGATAGTTACAAACCAAGTTCTGATTATAAGAAAATTAAACGTGCTCTGATTTGCTAACCACAAACATAATGGACGCCCGTCGTTACAATTTAGAAATGAAAACTTCTTAGTGAATATGTTAAAACGACAGTAACATATCATAAGGAATCAAGTTTTAAACGTATTTCCTCGTCACATAGGTATTGTTTGTTTTTGTCAATAAACAATTGTTAAGGTGTGATTGTATTGACAAGTAAAATGTTTGAATTACATTTGCTCAACGGGAATATCTCCAAGTTAATTACGTAACCTTGTTTTGAGATTGAGGCTAGCAGCTGATTGACTATGTACGGTTCTAAAATGACCTTTACATAAGACAAATGAAGTCAACCAAACTACTCCGTGAATATATAACGGTCAAACACTGGTTATTGAGTGTTTAGACTTGTAGATTTTAATAGGCAAAACAAAAAATAACATTGAAATGCTTGTTTGGGTTTTATTTCACATTGGTAATTATACATACATCTTACACAAGAATAATGAAAAAGAAATAATAAAAAATATCACAGATTGTTCTTCTGTTCTCTCAGATGTTCTCATCTAGAAAACATAACAATTACACTCATCTTTCACTCTTTCTGTTTCTCATACTAACAGATCTCCAAATTAAACAGTGACGATGGTAACGATAGCAACGGACGTCTTTAAACATGCGTACAGTTGTCTTAAGTTTCCAAACATCTGAACATTGTCGAAAATCGTATAAATGTTTAGTTCCAATTCTCTAATCTCTGTCAATGTAGGTTATCTAATAGAATATTACTTTTGTGTCTTAACATAATCTTTCTAGCATATTTGGTGACACGCAGATTTGTTCAATTCTCGAATCAGTCATGCGTGATGAAGGCTGCCACACAGAGCATTATCATACAGATATGTGAAAGGGAAAACATGGTTTTTTTCCTTATTAATTTTTTTAAATGAATTTAAAATTGAAATGAAAATTTCGTAAAATCTAAACTAGTTGAAACTTGAAATATACCACTTGTTACAAGTTGTTATAGCGCATGACTGAGAAGGATCTGTCTACTTAAGATGAGCAATTATTGATCACACTACGAAACGGTCATAACTCTTCAGGCAAGGAAACGCAGCGGCGCTCTTCAGTCCAGTAGAACAGACGTGTTGCCGCTCATACCAATGGTGACGTATCTAGAATATTTCCGTGATCTAGCAGAGAAAATAATAGCGCGGACATACCAACTTCTTGTCGGCATTTAATTACTATGTTTAGATATGTAAACGTTCGACAGCGGAATTCACTTATTCAATCATATTTGATATGGAGTGTGACCTTGATGTCCCTTTCTGTATTTGATGTGGAGTGTAACCCTGATGTCCCTATCTGTATTTGATGTGGAGTGTAACCCTGATGTCCCTATCTGTATTGATGTGGAGTGTAACCCTGATGTCCCTATCTGTATTGATGTGGAGTGTAACCTTGATGTCCCTATCTGTATTTGATGTGGAGTGTAACCTTGATGTCCTTATCTGTATTGATGTGGAGTGTAACCTTGATGTCCCTATCTGTATTTGATGTGGAGTGTAACCCTGATGTCCCTATCTGTATTTGATACCCGACACACCAGTTTTATACTTCGAGCGAAAGATTCCTCTTCATTAACATTTGTTTAACCTCTCTCTCTCTCTGTAAGTCGACATATCGGCCAGTGTCCAGTTACACAGGCGATGACATTGTAACGAAGTTTAACTATACAGAGACATTTCAAACGGGATTAAGACTACAACCGGTCTGCTACAAGGAGTGTTTCTGATTCTTAATGAATGAATATCTCCTTTAAAATGTCGTGAATGTTTCTGAAAATGAAGACATGAATATTCGCTGTAAGTTATTATGTAGCATGACATCATATGAGAGGACGGTTCGACTAGACTCCCTAAGTAGCACACGTTGTCCATACAGTCCAATGATGAATCATGTCCAGTTAATTATCACCATTGAAAAAATCATGACGAAAACACTGTTATTCTTCGGTAAAATTCGTCAAGAAAAAAAAACACATGACAAATGTTTCTTCGGCAAATTCAACAAATTCAAAAGTCAATTAAATTAACATTTTTAAACAGTTTTTTTCGGGCTTCATTACGTTTCTTCATCTTTGATGGAGATTGTTGAGTGGTTATAGAGCCCTTGTGCCATTAGACTGAGAGCGAGGGTGTTCCTGGGCGCCGTTGATTTCTTTATCTTAGCACGCTTATTTTGAAACCAAATTTTAATTTGAGCTTCTGTCAAGTTGAGCTCCTGCGCGAGGTCCATTCGTCTCTGCTCCGTCAGATACCGGCATTCTTCAAATTCGCGCTTCAGTCGTTGTAATTGGTCGTTCGTAAAGGCCGTTCGGGGTCTCTTTTCATCTACCGTCTTTTCCTTGGTCTTCCGAATTTTTCTCGATCTTGGTCCTGAAAAATGAATGACATGAATAGTTATCGGTGATTAATTATGTAATTAAATATGTAGTTTCGTTTTACCAGAACACTTGTGGAGTATCGCATTTATATCTCGACATTCCTCTACTGACTTGGGTATGAACAGATTACAGTGTGTAATAACCACGTACGTTAAAATTGGAATTAAAGGGTACATAATTATTTATTTATTCAAACATAAACTATGAAATCTTACAAGCCTCGTTTCGGGGAGGCACCTGTCGATTTTGTATGTGGTCTTACTCTATACTAGTATATTATTTTAATTCATGAGATTAACGATCATGTACTCGGACGTTTTATAGCAAAGAAATTAAGAAATCAAATTTCCTACAGGTCTGTGTTGTTTAGAGGAAGCAGAGGGATTTATTGATATTCCGGTTTAATATCATATTACTTCTACTGGCATTTTACATGTGTATAGATATATGTATGTATACATATGTGTATGTTTGTATATTTTACTTGAATGTCATATAAGTTATATTTTTTTTTTAACTTATTGTTAACATTATTGTGCGAATTATGTTTACAAAACACGCCATTCATATAGCCGTGTCATGAAACACATGGCATAGATGTGTGTCCTTTCGAATGATAAGATACTGTTCAATACTTTTTTTTAATTAAGGCAAGACATATGACACCTATGTATTAACAACGTTCCAAGGCGATTGATTAAAGCATGACGTTATGCCCTCAGCTTAATGTACAAAACGGTGTGCCCTTTAATTACATACTGTATAAGAACCCGAGTTTCTAATAAAATTAGTTATCGATTATTGAACATGTCAAGAACCGACGCTCTTCGATCTAAATTGTCAACCATTTGCCACTTCTTCAAGTTAAGAAAACTATTTATCTGTCACGGACTGTGAAAATCCGGAACATAGGCAATTATTGGGTATGTTATTAGATCATCGGATGGCTTGTAATAGGCCGTAGCCTTCTGGTCGGTAACTTGGCTATTATGTTGGTGTAATTGATTGTGGGGGCCCCCATAAATAAACTAATTAGTTATCTATCAGACTCGTTACAGCGCTAAATCTATTAACTATTACAGCGCAGGTTTCATTAGCACGATGACAACTCGAGAGTTAATCTATTTTATTGTCCGGGTGACGGATACAGGTCGATCCGGACCTAACAAGGGTGTAGGTTGTCATTTAAAAAGTGACAACTACTAACTAACAGACTTACACAGATCTAACATGGAGTATGATTAAACATGATATCACCTACTGTCGTGATATTGGTTGTTGTTTTAGTCCGTGTGCAAATAAACTGCGCGCAGTAACGGTAAAAATTGTAAAAAGAAATAAACAGTTTTAAATCGATTTCGCAATAGCAACAATTATATGAAGAAGTTGTCAAATTCGTCATGTTATTATTTTTTTACAGAATCACTAACAATTGTGTAGACGTTTCAAATATAAATCTATGTTGAAAATATTTTATATATTTAAGATTGTACACCTTTACGGTCTCAACTGAATGTAAGGTGCGGCCTTCCTAAATGTATTGATATGTGTAATATTTAATGATATCATATTTATTACCCCGGTATTAAAGTCACAAAGCCAACAAATAGCTAACCTAAAACGACAAATTGTCCAGAACAGCTTTATAGAGCCGTGAAATAAACGCGTCGATAACTGTATGAGAATTATTATACTTCAATCGAAAATCTCAATTATTGATGTATCTACACGAATTTCACCAACAATTTCCTGTCTTTAATTTACTCTATCGTAAAAACTTAAAGTGTACCGGCCATGATTATTTATAATTCTTAATGTATATATCAATATTACGCTAGGGATGACAAATTCGGATAATTTCATCTGAAAAAACATTAATGGCATTATATTTTTATAGTTCTAAGTCGGCACACTTTAAGATTGAGAAGTTGACTTTTGTAAATGATCGTTTAAATATTTAATTTTCTGCTGTAATTGCTTGTTAAATGAGTTACTATACTTTAAGATGAAATCAAAGACTCCGAACAATATACTAACAAGCTGGTGGTCTATTTAACATTTAGTTACATGATATTAGCTAAGCACATTTTCCATAAAATGCAACGATAATATTTTTTTTACAATTTTTGGAAAGAAGTGGCTACTCTTTTTACTAAAAAATTCTTTTTAAAATGTTTTGATACACAGGATATAATAAATTTGCTCGATAAAAATTACTCTTTAATCTATTGAGATGAAATAGTTGTCACTTGAAAAATAAAATTGGCTCTGTGTATATAAATTGCACAGACAATTTCATTTTATACTTTCATTCAAAACAATAAGAATAATAAAATTATAAAATTATGACATAAAATAATTCAGACTATTTCTAAGATGAATTATGTAACGTCGATATTGGAGATGAATTGAGGGTTACACGGATGTATAAAAGCAGCCCAGAGGAAACTGTTTAACAATTTATTTAATTCACTTTAAACTTATGATATTTATAACATTATGATGTATTACAGCTAAGCAATATCAGCTTAAAAGTCACGAGATCGACAGAATGTTGTCATTGAAATAATAAATTAACAGAATTAAAATTAAATCTAAATCAAGTTTAATTATGATGTCCATTTCATATGCAATCCAACAAAAACTGATAGAAATGATACTTGCTGACATAATATTTCATATCAAAGATCATTGATGCACCTCAATAAAGTCCTGTAGAATGATACCAATAATGTACACAGTTATGTATAACTGTAAAAACTGTTGTTTGAGTGTGTAATTATAATGTTAATGTCTTAATCCTATTTTATTGATGAAGTACATAGTAATTATACCTAAGTAAACATATAAACAGCTCCATCCTGACCAACAACAACATAAATAAGACATTTGAAATTTATCAAGATTTTGATATGTTCATCAGTAGCATTATTGTTTGGAACAGTTGTTTTTCATTAGCATTTGTGTGCCATTAATTTTTTTTCAATTTAAAAAATTCTTTCATTTTAAGAAGTAAATGTAAGCATTCAAAGAAAGGCAGAAAACAGTTTTATATTAATATTGATTTTATTTAAGACCATCTTGTGGTGTTGGAAATAAATGACAACTTAAGATCAATTAAAACTTCTTTGTATTTACATTCGTGTACTTCTTACAAAAATAGATACATTATTAGCTACTATTTAATTAATAACATAGTTACCTGAAGACGGTCTGTCAGAGTATCGAGTACAGTATACCCAGGCGGGCCACAGAGCTGGACGGGACTCGCTGTCCGGGGATTTAGGGGTGTGGCCGGAACTCTCCGGCGAGGAGGGAACACTTCCGCAGGAACGAGGTGATGATGACGATGAGGATATTGACGATGAGGCGGAAGCACATCTCGGTAAAAGCTTTTCCTGGTGACGTACAGGTGTAAACGCAGAGAATGCAGACGTCATATTGATGTCTAGTGTCTTTTTCATACCAAAGTCTGGCTTTAGGATTTCATCGATAGAAAAGTTCGTCACTCTGGGCACGTTAGATTCAATGTTAACGTCGACATTATCAGTATCATCGTCACTGATGTTTTCTTCCATAACGCTTTCTCGTTTCAAATCCGAAGAATGTTCACCAGATTCCATCTTAATTTTATCATGGAAAAATAGTAGCACCATCCTGGTTTTAATTTGTGAAATGTCCCGATGAAAAATAGGTAAATTACCTATTAAAATCGGACTGGGTTTGTTATTCCGCTTAGAAATACAATGTAAACAACACTACACTCTCGACCACTTTATGACACCATGAGTTTTGAAACTTGATCAAATTTTTCTCATCTTTTCTATGTTCCGAGGTGTTGTGGGCGTGGCTTACTTGAATAAGATCGATTTACGTACCAACCAATCAGAATCGACGCTGTGAGAAAGCCATCAAAATTGCCCGGAAGGCGGATCATACCGTGGCATTTTCACTACACACCACCCGACGTGGGGTGTAATTGTATAGCATAATTTTTAAGAGGGGAAAAATAACATTTCTAAAATTTACGAAGGAATGGCAATATAATTAAGCTGCACTTGAGCAAAAAAAACCAGATTGGAATAAAATAAGCACAAAAAGCGAAAAACAAAAAACACGACGTGGTAGTTTGTTATAATGAACACCAGCGAGCGGGAGATATAAGCAAGATATACTGATCCGAGATTTTAAAGAAAAAGAAAATTAGATGGGAGTATTATACAGAACTGAAAAAAACTACCTATCTTTACAACACATTTTTGGATTCGTATTTTCGCGGTGCTCACGAGTGTTGTAAAATGTTAAGGAAGGAATTTCTATTTAAATAAACTATAAACTATAAACTATGAAGGACGACAAAGAATTCTTATTTCAAACAAAGCAAAAGTGATATTAACTTAATACCAGATAGGAGAAATGGTTGGATACCGAGAGAAAATGGGATTTTGGAAGACAAAACAGAATCTAATGTAATTTTATGATTTTGATGTCATGAGAGAAATCACAATCATGTAAACTTTACACCTCATGTACGACGCTTACCTCACAATTTCTGTCTTCTGAAATCAACATTACACGTAGCGAAATACGCGACGGATTTTGGTATGACAGCCGCTACACAGGGACAGATATCGTTCATAAAAACTGACAAATGCAATTACTAGGAATAATACTTAATGCATTAATGTTTCAGGTTTGTTAATATAATATTTTACAGATGAACAATATTTTGTTGATGTCATACTGCATGTGCCCGCCATTAAAGTGGTTATCACTTCATATTTTATTGATTGTTATTAGCCTAAAACCGGTGTATTCGTTAATGAACTGCCTCGATTTCTATGAAATATAAGATATCACACTTTTCAATTTATTTTTTTCATGCCGAAATAAGTTTAATGTCCAAATTATGTTATATTAATCCCATGCATATTCATACAGTTTGGCAGTTGTGATGGAAAAACGAGAAAAGAGTGAAATTTTTAGTTAAATATTGAAAAACTTAATCGTTTTGTGGAGGTGGTAGAGCCATCTCTCTCGGTCAGAACTGACTTCTGATATAATTTCCGTAAAAGGTTGCTTAATGTATTTATGTTAAATCCGCCTGGGGACCAAACACCTCACACAGTCTTAATATCTTATTCATTGTGTCAGGATTATGTAATTATTCCCACCAGTCATTGGTAACATATCTGTTTAATAAAAATGTGTTTCATATTTCTGTTACAGTAGTGAAACTAATGGTTGAATTAATATTCATATCTCTCCGACTAACATTACAGCTCGTGGTATCCGCTGATCGGAATCACTTACTGGTGAAATAATAACATATTTACAGAAATGCAATTGAAATACATTTGTATTACTCGGTGCAATAAAATTATGTATCTCACGACACAGTACAATTATTAATCACAATATTATCAACAAATACTGTCTGTACTTGGAGATTTCATTCGTCGATGTATTAAGTGATGGGAAATAAATGTCGAGTTTAGATTTTAATGTTTGGGTAATAAGTTGTGAGAATGAGGGTAAATAATTATGTGAGTTCTTTGAGAGAGGAAGTCTAATTTTCATTTTCAATGCTAATTCTGGGTTGTGCGGATTTATTAAAAATAAATTGAAAATTAATTTTCTATATGTTAAGTCTGTTTGTGTGAAATTTGACTTTAGTTTTCATGTTTTATGTTCATGAAAAAAGGACGACGCCTAAGTCTTTATATTTATTAGAAATAAAATCGAAATGAGATATGTAAAGTTTATGAACAGTTAGAGACGCCCTATAACACATGGTATATATATATACTGTAACTCCTACGTGAAATCTTCAGATATAACCCGTGTGTAGTCGACACCCCTATGTATATGATTACTTGATTCCAATCATAATAAATCAATCATTTTATTCCGGATCATAAAGAAATATCATAAAAACATGATGGACAATGTTTTCAGTACACTTGTATGTATACTTAAAACATGATGGACAATGTTTTCAGTACACTTGTATGTATACTTAAAACATGATATTATGAATACGTTTTAGTATACATTAGCACCGGATCACAGTGATGTACTGGTGTATCAGCTTCTATTGTGCAGATTCTTTGATTTAAACATATTTTATTATCAGTTTCAGATAAATGGATCAGAGACAAGTTCTAGCAACTTATGAACTCTTCTCCATAAATGAAATTACAAATAATTAACATACTGCGCGTGACACATATTTATACTAAAAATATGAAGATAAGTAATTCGTAGATGTATAATTGTAAGTTTAAATAATTCCGTCAAAGGGAGGAAAAGGTGAGATGATAGGATAGAGAGAAAAGAAAATGAGATAGATTTTATATCAATTTTATATCAATTCAGTGCCGACTGATTCTTTCTACATGAAAATGAATAATCTGAAAGTTGAGTATAAAGGAAGTTATTTGTTATAGGTTATCAGGATCTAAAACCATTTGAAAATACTCATGATAATCCTTTCGTGATCTTTAGCCAAGTGGCCATACATTAAAATTTACTCCGAAATGAAAATGAAATATTAGATAAAACAAAAACCACAGAAACTAACATATCTATTAGATACGATTTAAGTAAACAAACTATTTGTTTTACAACAAACGCGAGACAGGTTTTTCTAACTTTCATTAATCACTATATTTAACTCGGATAGAAGCACTAATAGTATTTAGATACCATTCTCTCATAACTTGAACAAGTTTCAGCCCAGACCTAGATCTCCACACGGCTCGTCGCAGTCCATGGGGATAACAAAATAGTATAGATGTATATCATTATTCAGAAAATAAATTACACAGTGATTAAAATTCACTGATATGTTTTGAACAGCTTTAGTATTGACATTTTTTAAATATAAATATAATTTATTTGCAATATTTGAGAAGTATTGTAGAATAGGCTCGGCGGAAAGTGACATGAAAAGTGCACTGTTGGGTTTGACCCAGTGATGTGTACCCCGGTGAAGATGTCTAGAATTACGGTTGAAAGCTGGCTGACAAAAACTGCGAGGATAAATGGAAATAATGAGTGTATCGTATACGTAGACTAGGTAATCAAACTGGATTATTATGGTGTCCTTACAAACAGCTGCTGTAGCCGAGATCCAATCTATCCTCTTGTACTAAAGGTGCGTGGTAAGTTTGTGTCACGTTTTCATTTTAAGTTCTAATTTTTCGTTGAAAAATTAACAATATATCTAACCATGTTCTGTTCATTATCACCTGCCACTGACTCCTTTCGTTCGCTTCACAGAGTGAACTGTTCTTTCTTGTCAAGTTCCATTTATACATGTCACTCTTAAATTCACTGATTACATGTTAAGTTAGTCCCGTCCTCCTTATCCTCTGCCCCAAGTCACCTGAACAGTAACACAGGCCTTACCATATGTTCCTTACCACCACCCACATGCCTGTTCCCTCCCGTTATATGACACACTATAAGCACCTCCCTAAATGTCCCCTCTCCTTCCCAGTCCTATTCCCTCAACACCTTATACAGTAACACACACCTGGCTATATGAACCCTCCTTCCCTACCCATGTGCCCCTTCCCCACACACACTCTCCCCGTCACCTGATACAGTAAAACACACCTGGCTATATGAACCCTCCTTCCCTACCCATGTGACCCTTCCCCACCCACACTCTCCCCGTCACCTTACACAGCAAAAGATACCTTACCATATGTCTCCTCCCCTCCCCACTTCCCCGTCACCTTACACACCAAAACATACCTTACCATATGTCCCCTCCCCACCCCACATCCCTGTCACCTTACACAGTAACACACACCTTAACAAATTTCCCCTCCCCTACCCTCCCTTCCCCACCCCATCCCCGTCACCTGACACATCAACACACATCTTACCAATGGCCCCTCCCCTACCCTCCCTTCCCCACCCCATCCCCGTAACCTTACATAGCAACACACACCTTACCAGTGTCCCCTCCCCTACCCTCCCCTCCCCACCCCCATCCCCGTCACCTGACACAGCAACACACACCTTACCAATGTCCCCTCCCCTACCCTCCCCTCCCCACCCTCATCCCCGTCACCTGACACAGTATAACAATTTGGTAATGTGCTCTATTCCTATTTTATATCTGCATTTAAGTTTTAATTTCAAGTTTATGACTTCTTCATTGCTAGGAATCTCAAATAACATGGTTTATTAAGTGATATGTTTATAACAGACAACTGAAACTATTTAAAGAGATGGCTACAAAGAAATGTATTTACTTGTTAAACAATGGTTTTAAATGTCGCTGTAGATGTGTTGATATTTGTTAATTTAAATGTAATAAAATTTAGGAATTTGAATAAATATGAATGGAAATGGATGGAATTTTAAGTGGTTTAAGTGTTAGGTTGTATTTTAGAACAAACCATGTTGATTGACTCCATTTCAAAGACAATAAAATACGACTGCAATACGTAATACAAATGTAACGTGTACTTTTACGTTGACCTTGACCTTGACCTCTTCTAAAAGTACTCTAGCTACGAACGTCCATTTACTCAAGAATTGTAACCAAAACGATAAATATTATTTCCTTAAGTGAAAATATGCAAAGTTTATTTGGTCATTCGTCAGAGGTTATTTAGAAAATAAACAAGCAAAAAGT